TGCTGACGGTGCTGAGAACCAAGAGCCGGCGTGTGCAGGCTGAGCAACCGCTGACAGCTGGGTGTGCCAGCAGGTAATGCTCCCATACACGTCTCTGCCCCAAAAACTCCAGCCTGGATTCTGGCTAGCCCAGGGGATTCCCGTGCTCGTGGGTGCTCGTGTTTTTCATTTAAAGGTGCGCTGATCGATGCAAAGCCCTGCCCCTCCTTCGCACGACTCCAAGGAGGCATCAGGCGCGTGTAGCTGTGACGCATGCAACTGAGCAAATCTCTCTGCAAACTTTATAGCCACATCTGTAACCTTTCAGGGCACCGCAGTTTCTTGCCAGATTGCAAAGATAGAGGAAATAATGCGCTGCACATGCTCAGGTCACAACAGCTGAACATGCATGCTGACGGGCTCTCAGTACAAAGGGCCAGATTCTCCAGCTGTTGTGGATCAGCCCAGCTCCATAACGGGGATCCCGAGTTTTCAATCTGGCCCACTAACGCTTACAAATAAGGTTCAGAATAAATTCCTCAGCCCAAACTATTTACTGTCCTAATAAGAACGGCGGGTGTGGGGTTGAATTATCCATGTGGGGTTGAATTATCCGAAGGAAAACAAGATTTAAGTGCGTTGCTGCTGACAATACACACCTCTACCTCACAGGTACCTTGAAAGGCGTTTTTGGATGCTGTGGTCCAAACCAGTAATTTCACTGCTTGCTGTCTGGGCTAGGCTGTTTGCTTAGAAGAAGCTATAAAACAGGCACACACACACACAATGGCCAGGAAAATGTGGTTCTGGTGGGATCCAGCCCCTCTCCAGCACAGACAGGATCAATCTGAGAAGTCAGTCTCCAGGCTGGTTACGAGAAGGCTCCCTGGAAATTGTCTGCTAAATGAAGACAGGAACCCCTCCATTCCCTAAACAGTCTTCATGCAGGACTATTTAGGGAGTGGACTATTTTAGAAGGGAAGACACAGGTATTACGATGGCTGCATGCTATTTTAAGAATCCTTTAAATGGAGAGCATCCACCGCTACCACATCCATCACATCGAGGCTTTCAAAGCACCTACGCTAGGCTCCCACTCTGATCAGCCCTTTGGACAAGCCTCCCTCTCTCCCCCTTTGACTGCCCAGACCCCCTGTTGCACCAAAAGATGGATAAAAGCTGGCTAACAGCCTGGAAAATATAGCATCAGCTTAGTTAGCTCTGTATCTCTTCCATCAGCTGGACAGATCAAACAGATATTGCCGGACAACTGATTTCTGTTAGCAAAGATAGTTTAATGCAGGTTTGCATCCCTCCTCCTTTATCCTTAGATAAATGGCATGACAGAAGGGAAAATTGCTTCCTGTCCTCCAAGAAAACCTAATGGGAGGAAAAAAATCGAATACGTTCATATCATTGCCAATAGCTGTATTAACTTCAGTTGCAGCAATATGTTCTGGATGAAAGGGACAAGAGATAAAAGTAAGCGGAGATATTACCCCTCCACCTCACACCAGATGGACAGATTTTTTTCTCAACACATTCTGCTGAAAGCCACGGGCCTGTCTGCAGCTCGGTAGCGCAACCCCGGCAAAGGGGAAGGGGTTGGTTCCCCTTGCTAGGTGCGGGTGTTGACAACGTAGGCATTAACCTCGGAGCTACTTCAAGAGCCTCACTCGACACGGACAGTCCTAAGGCAGGCGGCTGTATCAGGTCGGATCGACCCCAGGAGCTCCTGTTTGTGCTCCTTGCCTGTGGAGGAAGGCTAGACACAACAGTCCCTGTGCAGACTTCTCCAACAAACATGCCCAAAGCTAGTTGAGATAAACCCTATTAGGGGTGTTATTTAGGTACAATATTAACGCTCAAGGATGAACCTGCAAATTTTGAATCCCATCGTGTGTCACAGTCACATCAAATGCCCAAGAAGCAACCCGTATTTTTTTATTCATAAAACAGAAGTCTAAAAGAAACATTTTTTCAGTTCTACACGTTTCTATTTCACATTTATCAAGTACATTTCCCTTATATCTGCCTGACAACCAATTCCAGCTTTTTAGTATGAGAATAAAAACTGCCCAATTTCACCCCAGTTTCATCTCCTCTGAAAATGGAGAATTAATCCCAGGGGTGATTTCTGTCCTGTGACTTCTGCTCAAAACACAAACTGTTTTGCAAGCTTGGACAACGATTGCTCAAAGCAACGGGCCAGATTCACCTTGGCATTGCTCTGTTTCCTCGCTGCCATAATAGCACTTTAATCAACAAGCAGAACTGGCATAAAGCACTGATGCATCAGGCCCATCATATAGAGTACACCCACTTAATCAGGTAATCAACTTAATCAGGACACTTCCCAAGGAACCAAATTAAGCCTAATGACACCAAGTGGCAGGGACTGCTGCTTAATTGGGATAGTAATTCTGCTTATGGTAATTGGGATGCCTGCAGGTGATTAAATGGTACTGAGCTAAGAAGAGACAATCTCTGTGATGCTCAGAGACTGGCAGGGATTCGTCTCTCCTCAAAAGGCTCTGTCAACAGCGGATCAGCAAAACAAAACTTTCCTAATCCTCTTGGTTGGGCACTGTCTGAACAGAGCATCTCAAGATGCAAATAGGGGCACTGAAACAAAAGGGAAAAAAAAAAATTAAAGGACTTCTCCAGGTAGTCCAAACGTGAAACTAGAGCTAGACCAAAAAATGAGAAAAAAAAAAAAAAAAAAAAAGAATCAAAACAAAACCAATACATACTGGGAGATTTTTGTACTTCGTTAAAAGCTACTTTCTGCCCAATTTTTCCAACATGTGTGTAGCCGTGGGAGCAGATGTTTCACAGCAGAGCAAGAGTTAAGTGAAATGCCAGTGCTCATGCTCAGGGTGAGCAAGAACTTCTCACAGATCCAGAGACCTGTGTGAAAGGAGAACAGGAGAGGTCACGGCGCTGCTTCCTAGGAGACTTCCTACCCTATTTAAGATCAAGGAAAAAATATTTTCAAAGCACAACAAAAGAAATGGCTTAAAAAATGCAATTGAAAAAAAATTTTGAGGGGGGGAGGGTAAAAATGTCCTTTTTAACATCTGTAATTGCTATCCAGAGTAGGAATGAAATGTTTTAAGGTTAAACCTGTTCTCCATTTGAAATAGGTGTCGCAAATCATAAAGTTCTTCTGGAACTAGGTTGCTGATAGAACAGCAGCCTCCAAAGTCATCACGCAAAGCATAGAGTTGCAACGTTTCCAGAGTCCAGACTTAACAGACTGTTTTACAGAGCTTCTTGCACTTCGGTGGCCACCTTGGTGCATGCAGTTAGTCAAAGTGAGGGGTCTTGCAGAGCACTCCATTTAAGAAAACACAGCTCCATTTTTGCCTCCATGCTTTTCCTTATTCTTTTCAATCATGGTCGCTTAGCCACCAGCACTGCACAGGCACAGACCTGCTGCCTGTCTAGGACTCCCTTCTTCATGGTTTTGGACATCAAGAAATGACCGTGGGGGAGCCAGGAGCTGCAGGGGGACTTCTGCCTTTGACAGCTGCCAACGCCTGCAGACTTCACCACTGAGCTTGAGCCAAGGAACCATACAAAGGATGCACTTTGGTGGCTCCCAGCACAGCCCCACAGGTATGTACATGTGTATGGGTGCTACCTGGCTATCCCGGCACCCCCCACTGCTGCACCTACTGAGCACAATCCCAGTGCTGCACTCATCATATCTGACACTCATCTCCTTGTTGTGACTTCCCAGTGGCCTTCAGACACAACGCTCCACTTTTCTTTCCGAATGGTAGATTTGCATCCTGATGCTTGGCTACTCTTTTTTTTTTCTGGGTCTTGCTCTGCTTCTCTTCCATCACATACGTTGTGATTCAGTGTGTTTGATGTACACCTGTATGTTTTCGGGTAGGCTGTTCTCTACATGACACTCAGTACTGAGAATTATAAAGGATAACTCAGTCTTACCTCTGCGAGCATTTAATCTATTTGTTCCTGATTTATTGCCTTGTCATGTTATTAGCTTCATTAGAGGAATGAAATGAGTAAGTGCGTGTGCAGTGTGAGAACAGAGGGGAAATTCAGACTCCTCTTCGCCTTCACCCAGTTGCACAAATTCCTGCAAGAGGATTATCAAAGCAAGAGGTACGAGAATGGAGCCCTAACGGGGGAATTGTTAAGTCTCTAAACACCTCCAAATGGAGGGATTGCCGTCCATTTGTGGTTCTCAGATCCTGTATGAACATCCCCAGAGGACTGCCGGCAGGCAACAGCCGTGCCATGCCTCCAACGATGTGGTATTTTTGTTTCCTGCTCCCTACTGTGCACTCCAGCAGGAATTTCCCCTTCATTCCCTGCCAGTTCCACGAGGCTGCAATTGCCCGGCTGCTTCCTGCAAAGGTAATTGCTCTCCCCCAAATCTTCCAGCGTGGTCGGTGAGAGCACTGCTGCAGTTGCGTTTGTTGGGAGATGCAATTTGCCACGTGAACTCATCGACTCGGCGCTCTCACTTACTCCTCACCCGCCTCGCTCCACTTTTGCCTGTTTTGCATCACGGATGATGAATCCAAACTTGCACAGCAGTTGCTGGAGAGCCCGGCGAGATGACCCCCTCCCCCATTACCGCTTACAAAACACAATAAATAAATTCTAATAAATATATCTTCAAATCAAAACCATTTTGAGTTGCTTAACCGAGTGCATATCTAGTCCTTTGTACACATATTTGTACAAAGTGTTGCCTGTAATTTTAAAGATGCTTGCCTCAGGGAGGTTTCGTTTTTCCATTGAAGTCCCCTTGATTTACTGTACGCAATATGTTACAGCTTCCTTATTTGCTCCTTTGGGACAGTTACTGACAGTAAATCTCTATTAAAATATTCTTCCATATGGTTGCATGAAAATTTTATTGCAGTGAGCCTGAGGCTGAAGGTCACAGCTGAGTAGCTGCAGTTAAGTATTGCAGTCTATGGACTCCGAGGTACATCTGTTCTGGGAGCTGGAGCAAAATTAGAATTTTACTGTCAATAGCAGTTCTCCAAAACTAGTTCCATTTGTTTACTGTTGCAGGCCTGTAGCAAGGCAATACCCTCCGTATATGTGTTACAGGCCATCGTGGCTACATGATTTAGGTCTTTAGCTCCAATCCAAAAATTACAGAATCTGGAGGTCGCTGGAGAGAGTCCCTAATGTATATTTCATTTACAATACATGAAAATTTAATTTTCTCTCCCATGATTTGCCTCTATTGCTTGCTTACACGTTTTTTGGCAATGGCTTCCCCGTTCAGCGAAAGCTTTTCTGGGCTGTATATCACCCAAACTTTACAAATGATACAAAAGTGCTATTTCTAATTGGCGACTTGCAAGAAAACGGGCAGCTCCAGGAACACCTCGCCGCTCCCCACCCAGTGGGGTCGAGGAGCCCCCCAGATGCCAGCTGGCCGCGCTTTATCAACCCTTTGGGACCCTTTATCGAGCGGTCAGCAGGTCAGGCTCCTGTTGTAGAAGTGCCCCCGCTCCGTACAACTTGGAGAGCTGTTTGAAAACAATGTTCCATTGTGGAGGGCCGCAGAGTATCGGAGTGTTAGATTGCTCTAAACATTACATTTAGCGATTGCCGCCAGGGTCAGCCAAATGTTAATCTACTGCTTGTATTTGTTTGAAATAAAAAAGGAAACATCGAGGCATATTTCTAAGCCCATCTTGTTTAGCAATATGACATCTATCAGAATGGCTCGGAGCCAAACCAGGCCTTTCCAATATGCGGCGTAATTTGGAATTTCTAACAGAGAAATCAAACCTAAAACGCATCTGCGATTTTAACCTACGTTAACAACATTTTTTAAAAGGTTACAGCATCCAGCTTGATGGCATTGTGGACAACTGCCAGCTGAGAGATCTGAGAAGGTCAGGAGCAGAGAGCAGTTTGGAGGCACTAACGCCTGCAAGGGAGCCGCGGTGGTCTGCAGCACCGGCAGCACAGCCCCAGCCCTCGGGGACACGGGTTGGAGATGCCATAGAAGGGGACCTCACCACCGGGAGGACTCACGCTGACCTTCTTGGACAGAGGTAATTTTCCAAATGCAGCCGCTGGATGGAAGAGCTGGCAGAGGAGATGGGGAAAATGTAATTTATATGATCTAGTCGCAAACTTAGTTTCCATTGAAACTTGGGTCACTGCTGTGAAATAGGCTCTGGAACACGGAGGCGTGATGGTCTCACCTTGATGTGTGCCCATCTGGCCATTTTCTGAATCAAAAGATAAAAGTCACTGCATGCGTGGCGTCAGCATAAATCCAGAGTGTTATGGTGTATCTTGATGGAAGGATACCTTGGAAGCCTAGAGGATATATATATATTTTTTTAACAATGGCTATTTCTAGACTGATGTACGTGCAAGAATGTACTTCCACTGTGACTACAGCATTTGAAACAAGGTCTGTATGGGATATATGGCAAGTGCTGCCCAGCTAGGATTTCAATTTCCAACCTTGCTATTAATTGCTCGCTTAAAACCTTGTAAGAGTTAACGAAGGATGGTAGTTCTCCACCCGAATTTCAGTGCATTCCCTCATCAGAACACACGTATGGTACACGGGGAAGAAGTCCCCCTTTTTGGTCACCAAGCTGTAAGGCACCAGGAGCGCTTGGGCTTGATGTGCGATCAAGCAGCGGATGAAGATGCCTTTGGATCTGGTGATCGACCCTCTGATAGCATCTGACAGGTCTTGTCATACCGGCAGCAACACGCTTCAATCAAAAACAAGTGAAGGATTTGAGCTGTGAAAGTGTCGTTAAGCAGCTGCCTGGCTACTCGTTATCGGTTCATTATGGATTTTAAACAATACAGAAATGTATCTTGCAGGGAAGACACCTATTATGGTTTTACAGGTGAGAGTTAATACTAATTAGATGTTTTGGTACTCACAGGCTTAATTAGTTCACTTGAATCTTGTTTTTCAAAGTAGGACAGACATAAAGTTGCCATAATATTTTACCAAAATAGACATGTACTATAAAGAAGTGAAACAAATTCCTCACCGCTCTCTCCCACGCCCTGACAAGCCGATAAAAATGATATTAGGTGATTAAACGCAGAAATAAAAAAGGAGGCAGACATAATGATAAACTGTAATGAAGTCAAACAGCTGGCAGACTCCTTGGTGAATTTGCCACCTGATGGCTTGTACTAAGATCCAGGCAATGCCCCCAGCTCTCCGATCAGACGGCAGCCCCTGGTACACATGCTGAACACTGCCTCCCATTCATTAATTGGCTTGATAGAAACTCGCTGTCTTGCTAGAAGGACAGAAAACATCTATTTCATGTGTGTGCATCTGGGGAGAAAAAAAAAAATACAGCAACAACCTCCAGTTCTCTAAAAAACCCACAGTAATACGAGATTAATGCTCCTGAATGAATTCTGGCTAATTTGCAAATTGGGGTTAGACTTGCAAACACCAGTCTCGTCTAGAAGACATAAAGGCTTCTTCTGAATTTGAGAGGAAATGTGTTTCAAGACTTGATTTGGAAATATAGGAACTGCTATCAGAAAAGGTCCCTTCTCTGAATTCCTGCACGAGGTAAGGAGAAAGAAGCTTCTGAATTTGCTTTTAAGGCAAGAAGGAGAACTCACAGGAGAGCCACCATTATCACCGTCCCATCTCCAGCTGACGGCTGAAATTCCATTTCCATTTCTTGTTAATAATAAATACCAGCGAGGCCAGAGCCATTCTCATCCTGACCCCTGGCTGTATTCCCACTGCTTAATGTCACGGCGGCGCCACGCGCAGAGCATGCACGAAGGTCTCGACTCTGCAGAGCCCAGCCAGGCTCAGAGGTGGCTGCTGCCGACCCTCCTGGGCTGCCTCCAGTCCTCCTGCATAGGCTGCAGGTATCTGGTCGAGTGTTCGCTCTGCAGAAAGCAACTGGAACATGACAGGATCCTCAGTGGCTATTAACACAGCTTAACAAAGCTGAAGCGTGTTATCTCGGAGCTACAGCCCCTGTCCACCAGCTTCAGCTTGCTCCTAACTTGTAATATAATGAGTGCTTGGCATGAACTACAAGCAAATACTGCTGTTTGCACAACTTTTAAAGCTAGCTCAGTACAAAGATCTGTGTCATCATCTGCGTGTGCCTGTCTACCTGCATTTCTCTTTCCTCATCCACGCATCTTTTTACACAAAAGTGTAACAATAGCACAGGGTGCCAGCCTCAGAAACCTTCCCTTGGTGGGGAAAAGCCCCGTCCTTTTCTAAAATTATCCACTTCGTTAAGACTTGTCTTTCTCTACTTAGAGCACATTTTGACAAAGAGGGAGGCTGTTCCTTTAGCATTCACATTTGCCATATTAATGATGATAACTTCTCACAAGGCAGCGCAGCACGGAGCTTTGCTCCGGGTACCAGCCCGCAGGAACTAACCCCTCCGTACCCTTCATTCCTTCTTCAAGCTCCCGGTGTCTATAGGAATAACATTATAAGGGTCTCAGAGAACACAGCTTTGCCTCTCTACAGATTTTATTCCTTTAAGACAATGTCTGCACTTCTCTTTCTTGGGACCTGCAGCTGGGACAAGGGCTCATCCTGCCTGGGCACCTGCCACAACAAGCAGCAGCGTCAAACAGTTTTGTTTCTTGTTTCTTTTTTCCTTGCTCTAAACTCTTCCTGAATCTTCCCCTTCTACCCTACATCCTTTCCCATCTGCTTTCCTCCCTGCCTAAATATTATTTTATTGGTTACATATTACCTGCATCAGTATTTTCCTTTCTGTGAGTGGCTTTCCCCCCATATTCTACTTCAAAACCTCTGCCCTGCCCACTATCAGGCCCCATTTCCTCCACCACCTTGCTCCTGATCCTCACCCTAGCACGGCCATCTTCTCCTTTGCCATTCCTCACCTTCCTCTTCAGCTCTCTCCCTTCTGCCCCGACTGCCCAGGGCTCTCTCCCTCATCCCCAAAGCAGCCACCCCACGAGGACATCCCCATCCCCTTCCCCCTTCCCAGCATCATTCCCATAAGCACAAAATACAGACGGCAGCGCAGGGGCCTTATACATGTGTTTCAAAAGCTTGATATACATAAATAAAAGCAAGTTGGTGACTAATTTATTTTCTCGGTATCTATTAAACACAGCATAAATTGCCCTGGACACATTCAGGCTGGAAATGAGAAGAAGGTTTATAACCACCAGAAGAAAGACAGCCTCTCAGTAGGAGTAGTGAGGGCAAGAAACCTAAATGATTTCAAGATGCAACTAGATAAGTGTTTGAAAGGCATCATATGATGTGGTTGCCTTCAACAGCAGGGGACAGGACTTGATGACTTAGGAAGTTCCTTTCAGTCTTAATTCTTATCTTCCTGTGTGGGCCCAACGTCACCCACGGCAGCCCCTGAGCACTGGGGACAGGAGGCACGGCAAAGGTTGCCACTGGCCTTACAAACCAGGGGCAGAGGAACTGGTAAAGAGCTCTAAAGTGTGTTTTAAAAGGATGAAGAAGCATTCAGGATGCTCATGTGTTGGCATAACACGCTCCAATACCCTCTCTGCTTTATTTCCACGCAGAAGGGGACAGCAGCGAGGATCCCTTTTGCCCGATTTCTGAAAAGCCGCCTGCCTTTGGCTGGGAAAACTCAGGCTCTGCAGCAGCCGAGGGGGTGTTTGCTGTGTGCGTATGGTTTCAGAGCAATTAACACGCTAAACTACAAAGTAAAATTAAGGTATAAAGCAAAATCCAACATCACCCACCGGGTTCAGCCGCCCTCTCACTGGTACAGAGACTGCAGAAGGAGGGCTCACAGCAACAACCTGGGCACAAGCTCACCATCACCTGCGGCCAAGCCAGGAGAGCTCGAGGAGTCATCTCCCCTCAGCTGAACTCTCCCTGCCAGCAGCCCCTGCTGCAAGCTCAAAATCTGTTGGCTTAAATCTTTACTGGAAGGTTGATTTAGCATCTTCAGCAAAAGAAAGACATTTTTCCTCGCAATGGAGACAGGCTGCAGGCACACACACACACAGGCACTCACAGCAGCTCAGCTGAAGGGAGATGACTTTTTAAGCTGTTTTAATTCACCTGCCCCAAACTGCTGCAAGTGGTAGCAGCTGGGGATGACACGGTCAGCAGCGATGCTTGCAGGGCGAGTTGACATCTGCAAATCTTCTAAGACCTACATAACACAGCCCGCAAAGTCCCGTCGTACCAGCTCTGCCTGTCATTTATTATTTGCTCCTTTGCCTGCAGCTCCTTTTGAAGCTTTAAAAGCTTTTGTTTTTGATAGTAAAAGGATATTTGTGCCTTGCCTGTAGAAACGTCAAGCCCTGTATTGTTCAGTCCACAATAAAATATGTGTTTCAGTTTGATTTATTGCTCTCAGTTTACTTTGCCTTAAGTTGGCAGCATTTCCTGGTTTGGATTTTGCTGATGGCTTTACAGTTCCTTTTTCTGTATTAGGGCAGCCAGTTTTATGTTTGTTATTCCTACTCCAAGACTATATTCGAAATGACTAGGAGTTGTAGTGTTTGAAATCTGATTATTTACAGCAATGCCTCTACTTGTGAATGCACTTCCAGTAGAAATTGTCTGAAAGCAGACACATGGACTCAATTGAAGACATGTTTTTAAAGTTACTTGTCAGAGGAATGAATCCTTCTGGCCACTTCGGAGCTTCTAAGGGTTCTCTTTTTTATAGCCGAATTATATTTAGGCAGAAAAACAGAAAACCACAACACCGAGCAGGTTTCAAAACGCAAGGCTGCCATGTGAGTGGCCAAGAGGGACAGCCAGGCTGGAAGGGTGAGATGCTGTTCCACCTCCCGAACAAGGCGTTTTGCCCTGCACAGCTCAGTTCCCTACCTGCAGCGCAGGACTGGAGACACCAGGCTGCACAGAAGTACCAGCAGAGCTACAGCCTGGCGTGGAAATTTCCACAGATGAACCACCCTAAAATTCCACCTACAGGCTCTCGAGTCTGTCACTGTATCACCATTACCTTCGTAAATGCACAGGCCTAGATAAAATCTAATGAAACACAGCCAACAAGGTCCTCAGAAGAAAGTAAGAAGCTCGATGGAACAGCTGGCTGGATATACCTCTAATAAAAAGGAGGCATATGTGAAGTTTCCAGGCCAACACAGCAACATTTTCCTACCAAGACAATATGTGGGATTACACCTTTCTGAAAATGTGATGTAGAGTTTATTGAAGGAAGATATTTGTTGCTTGTCTTTACGGGCTTTGAATTGACTGTTAAAACTGTCTCTTCAAAGTACTATTTCCTTCAGCTCCTGCTAGAGTCAACGGGAACCGACAGGGCTTGAGGTAGGGCCCCTGTAGTGGAAACTGAATTTTGAAAGAGATTTTCATTAAAATAATCTTCACGCTGCCTGGTGAATTCTTGAAGTCATGGGACACGGAGCCAGGAAAAGGCATAAATCCTTGTACACATACACACATAGAGTGGACAAAATTCAGATGGATGCCAGAGTTGTCAAAATACACCCAGCAGGCTCAGGACAGAGCCAAAACCAGATCTCCAGCCTTTTTGCTCCCACAGTGGATGGCGTAAGTCCTTACAACAAAAGTTCCCAAACTCTTAGAGCATTCATCTCCCACCAAAAATGAACACCAGACCTGCACAACAAGATAAGTACGGTTATCTGTAAGAAGTGCATCTTTCTTTCCTGAGCCAGCACAAATTTCTGTGGCCCAAACACAAGAAAAAAAGAGGAGAAGGATGGTGGCTGGTGTACCCACCTTGTTTTCCATCGCCTTTTCTGAGCTAGCACATTATGAACGCCTTTTAGCTTTTGCTTTGGCTTTCTAGGAGACAATAAACTTCAAGAGAAAATGGACAGAAGTAGTAGAGTGATCTCCAAACAGATTTCATGGCCACTTAAAAGCCTGAAAATACACTGATTCAAGTCACAGCAATCTCTTTTACCACATTGGTAACAAAGATGGTCAGACGGTCCAGACTGGCTCTCAATCTAGCTGCCTTTCTGGGGTCCATACATTGGTCCATATACATTTGACCAATTGGCCATAGCAACTCCTTTCAGTCATTCTATGTATCATGCACAGTAAATCATAGTGAGCCAACGTATCGGTGACACAATTGACCATGATAGCTCCTTTGGAGCACTTAACAGTTCATCACATCACTGGGGTTGTCACAAATGCTTGCAAAGCTTGCAAGATAAACACTTGTTTCTACAAAGCCTTTGCTGCACAAGCTCGGAGGCATTTTGGAAGTGCCCTATCTTCCTTTATCTACCATCACCACCACAATTCCCATCACGCTAAACATCTGCCTAAGGAACCTCTAACCATACCATTCTGCCTGAGAAGCTAAGATGGGATGACCTTGATTCATAACAGCACTACCTTTAGAGGGATAAGGAAGTGTCTTCTGTTGTCAGGTTTTATTATTTGTTCTGTGGTCACATCCTGGGGTCATGAACGAGAGACTTCCTTCACTTGCAATTGAAATCCTATCCTGAAGCATTAATATGCTGCATATTCACATTCCATGCTTACTGCTTAATTTGATTTCAAATGGTGTATGTTACTACAGTTCCACTGAAGTGAATGGAAAGAGTCCAATTTACACCATGTAAGAAGCTGGCTCCCTGCCACTGAAAAACAGGCAAAATTAAACTTCTCAGAAAAATTTTATCACCACACTCTAAGCTCTTGAAGATAATGCACGTAGTGACAAAACCATCACTGTGTTATTAGGAACGGCATGACACACTGTGTGAAATCAGGACAACAACATCTCAGAAAAGAATGTGGGTCAACATGCTCGGCGCATACCGTTCGATACCAGATTGACTCCTCGGTTTCCTTCAGAGAGTAGCTTCATTGTCACCGCTCATTTGCGAATCCTGCCATGAACATATCCACCGGCCCTTCTTGCTATCTCTCCGTATCAGGCCATTTCAATCTCCTGTCTGAAACGCAGATTTCAACGTCTAACTTTGGGTGCCCACTTTGAAGAAGCTGAACGTGATCTCAAACTTCAAAGCCCTTTGCTACTTCTGGTCTGAAGCTTGAAACGAATGACTGACAAACGTAAACATGCCATAAATACCACAGTCTATAATCTCTCCTTCAACTTCTGTCGGGACTGAGGACAAGGAAAAAAGGCCTCGTTATACTCAATGCTGAATTGATACTCGTTTATATTAAGGTAGCAGAAAGATGAAACTCCGGGCCAAGTCATTGCCTGTCTTAAGTAAACGCGTCATGTCAGCAATTCTGTTTACTCAGTCCAAGGCTGCCTTCATTTCTTGCTTGTTTTGCTATATATTTATATTGAGGGAACACTTTCTCAGCAGCTTTTAGTCACTTCTTAAATGCATTTCATGAGGAGACAAAGTCAAATCACTATTACTTAATTAACACAATTGTGAAGACTTCACTCCAGCTACACAATAGCTCTCCTAATCTTGCAGAAGGATGCATGACTTCATTATTGAGTATATTGTTTCCTATAAACATATAAAACCCCTACAATAACAATCCCATCAGCTGAAATGAAGTTATCTGAGAACAGAATTAAACTCTAAATGACCCTTTGCTCCACTCCATAGACCCCTATTAATAATTCTAATCTAATCAGTGTGGATAAATGTACTGTTGCAGCCTATGCCAGGCACTCTGCCAGGAGGTCCTACTGCAGTCCATCCGATTCATTCCAGTCCAGAGCTTCTCTGGAGAAGATGCATCTTGCGCCGAGAGGCCACTGGCTGATTTCCTCTTTTGTTATCTTTTAGTGGCAAAGTCATGTCCTTGTAACTGATAGACACTTTTCTTTGTAAATAACCCTGGAGTGACTGATAGAGCTTTTGCCAGACAAAGCCTGTAAATAGCTAGGCATTATTCATGCCAGGCCTGAGAACACTGTGTCACGGCTGACAAATTTATGGTAGATATGAGCTCACCTCTTCCACAAATATATACTTTCCCAGCAAATTCATCACATGTTTTAATGGCCCCATACTGAATTTGTCAGCTGTCTGTCCCTGCACATTGTTTCCTTTGGATTCCTGTCAAGGATTGTTTGTTAAAATCATCTCCCTCTCCCATCCTTCAGCTGCTAGCCCCAGGAAAGATCAATGATGACACATCTATTGATAATATTTTATATTCAACTATTCCAGTCATAAATCATTTTAACAATGCTGATATGTTTATTGAGTGTCTGCTGGCATTGCAATTATATAGAAAATGATGTCACCCTAAATCTTGGCTTTGCTGGATCGCGTTTTATTCCTTCCTCCCCACTCCCACCCCACTTCATAATTAAAATATGTCACTTTTATTTTTTGCCATTCCCACATTAAAAGCAGTGAGGATTTTGGCATTTCAGAGGTGTGGAGTCCCTGAACCTCTGTCTCCCTGTAAAAGCAAATACGTAAAAGCATTTCGCGTCATTACATGAAGACACCGCTTCGGGGCTGCACAAACCCCCAAGGGCAACAGGATGGGATGAGGGAATGGCAGAGAGGCACCAGCCCGTCTCTCAAATCGAGCAGTCAGCTGTGCAGCCGACCAGAGACAATGGGGCACCTCACCTGTGATACGAGTGGAGAGGACACTGAACCTCTGCGAGGGACAGCAGCTCAGCGAGGAGGATTGAGTCGGGCTGAGAATCAGACCCAGGCCATCCTGCATGCTGGCTGAGGCAGGCTGCCTCCATTCCATGCAAGCCACTCCACCAGCAGATCTTTATGTCAGATGCTTACCAGGAATGATCTGGAAGACTAAGAATGCTGTTGCTGCTTGCAGTTTCCCTCCCTGCAACTGTGGCTGCAGGGACTCCTAACTGCTGCTCCCCACTGGGATGAGGAAGCCGCCTCCACTATCCAGCTCTGCACATTTTTTTCACCTTTTAATTAATGACCACAGTGTTACATATCTAACGAAATATATATATATATATATATATATATATATCCAGGGCTTTGGATTTGGATTCACTTAAGGCTGTTTTCCTTCTTAGCAAGCTCCCTTTATATGTACCAGAAAAGAAGACAGAGAAAGAGAAAGCAAGAGAGCGTTGGCCAGCAGGAAAAGTCACATTTGTTCCTTGAATGCAAAATGTCATCATTCATTAGAGAGTACTCGAAAGCTGAGTTTGTCCCAAATGCAGACAGCAGGCGGGATTTACACTATTTCATCCACGTGCTAATTTTAGTGACTGCCTTTTTTAAAATCCTGTAAACATATAGGCGGAACGATCTTGGTATGTGTAAAAGATTTTTATAAACACATAACCACGAAGGTGAAAAAAGTCTAAAGCAGATCTCAGTAGGACACATATTTTTCTTTACGTACCGAGATGCACAAAGCTGATTTTGTCATTACCAATGATGGGACGCACCTCTTAAAATGTGTTTCAAATACACAGCCAGCTACCTGAGGTGTCCCACTAATTTGAAACTTTTATGATCTGCCTTCATAAGGCTATAAAACTGGACAGGAACTCTGATGAGAATTTCAGGCTGTATAGAAATATACCGAGAATAACAGTTTTTCCTGTGGTATACTGGCACATCAACATGTAGATGTAACCTTTCTCAGGGCTTTCCAGAACGCGCTGCTTCTAAGGCCAGATTCAAATTTCATTTATCCCAGTATAATTTCACTGTGTCAAAAGATATTACTTTAGATCTACACAGACTGAAGCAAGAACACAGCCTGGTCCTTGATTTCAGCTAGTAATAGTCCCAGAAAAGAAGAGCAGATCTGCCAAAACTGGCGATATTTAGAGCTGTACTGAAGTCTGGATTGTGATCTGGCTTCTGGGTTTGCGAGGGACCCAGATACATTTACTATCTGGATTTTAGAATGTATCTGAAAGTCTTAGGAGCACAAGTACCCCAGACAAACAAAAATTCCTGGCAGCTAATTGTACTTTTGCAAGTTGCCTTGTTCACCCAGTAAATGTTTGAATGAATCTCAGCCGAGTCTCTCTTTTTAACAACCCCCCCCCGACCAGACTACTTTCATATGTTCTCTGGCTTTTTGCAAACATTTTATGGTTTCATAACTCTGAAAGGTATTTTCCTGTTTCCAGGGCTTCCATTTTCCTTAGCACTGAGTTCTGAGATTGCTTATATCCTCTTCATCTATACCTTAATGGAAATTCTGGTAAAGAAGAGGGAAGCCAAGCTTTTTATATTGGGAATGCAGAAGAAATGCACTACTTACAGGGGGCTTAGCCTAAATTTGACTGAAGTCAGAAAGAAACTCTCTGACTTTTCTGGCCTCCTAACAACTGTACATTCCACTTTAATGACTGCAGGCATAAATCAGTCCTGAGTTATGTCTGCCAGATAACCAGTTAGATATCTACTTAGCCGTATTTGCGTTCAACAACCTAATTTATGTACACACTCTTCACTACCATGTGTATATAGACAGATTACAAAACCTGATACATAAAATTATAATAATCATGATTTTCACTCTAAACTGTGTCTTCCACAGCCATGTGAGAGCAGAGGCCAAACATTCCTATCTAAGGTAGGCTTTTAAATCTGATTGAGTTGCTAGGCACTGTGTAGATATGGTGGGAACCAGAGAGATCTGGGGTCGAAAATGCCTCCGAAAAGGTCACAGGTCTGCCTAACTTTGGGCAGCTAACCACAGTGCCCACTTTAGAAGCCTAAATCATCTTAAACTGCCCTTATGATCAATGGAGAGTCACGGTCTTTTCCATGATGATGATTTATTCCAGCTGAGACCCCCTTTCTATTCCCATTAGAGAGGTACCTGGCATTTAGGCACATCTTGTAACTGCTAAAAGTCAGATGGGCTCAATCTATACCTACACGGTTATCAAATGTAATTTACTGGGATACTGATGCCTAAATACATCGGAAGACTTGGGTCAAGACACCTACTGCTGCATTAGGTCTCCTTTAGCAACGGGTGCTGCTTTTACAAACAGTATTAAAAAAAAAGAAACAAACCATGAATGCCAAAGTTTGGTTCACTCACTTCTAGGTGCTGCCTCAACTCTGTTCTCATTTACAATGGTGATAATCAGCGGCTGAAACACTCGGGCCTGTTGAAAATCTGCCTGAGCTCAGGAACAGGCCCAGTACACATATCTAACAAAATAAATTGAGAAGCACGAAGAAAAATTTTAGCAATGATAATACATACTTGCAAGTATATTTGATACATTATTTGGCTGTCTGTATTATCAGGGGAACAAGAATGTCTTAATCACCGCAGATTCCAAAATATTTCAAGCACGAATGGGGTATTGTGTTTGGTTTTTTGTATTTTTGGGCAGTATCTTATATTGTAGTCATAGCAAACCCAGTTCTCCAAAAGACTGTGAGAAACTTAACTTCCCCGCAATTGTTTATATCCATTTTAGCTTATTCTGCTAAACCTTTCTGTGCCAGTCGGGGTTTAGATATCACTAATGCTTTAGCACTTGAAAACACAGGAGTGACCGGGAGGAGGGGATCCATTCCCACATTCACTTCACCATAAACTGAAGCATGTGCACTTGTATGATGCTTTTGCCAATTCCATTATTTTCTACACAAAAAGTCATTACGTTCCGAAGTATTATCATTTCCTACTTTCCCAGACAGTGACCGTCTGTAACATGCTGTTTTGGAAGGGCTCCCTCCCAGATTCTGGGTATTGCCTTCACTTACAGGGCTGTTCCTTAACACAAAAAGGAAGAAAGGAAAAAAGGGGGAGTGGTGGAAATCCAGGCATATAAAATCCGAGGGCATAGTTCACCTATTAGCTTCAGCTTAATTACTGATTTTCTCTTGTACATTTTCCCAGGATCAGCGCTTCAGCGGAACTGGCTATCTTTACACACCGGGTTATCTTCTAGATCTCAAACAACCGCGTACAAATGGGCTTTCCCAACAGGACGCAAGCTGTGTTTGATTTAACTCACTGTATATTTATGTGACAGAACCTAACCACGTTGCACTTGGTGCCATAACCATAATGTTTGCACAGTCACACCTGGGGAGGAAAGCCCTCCCACTCCAGTACTGACAGGATGCCAGTGGCAAGAAAGTTTACATCATAAATTCATGGTTTAAGGGATTTATACATCTGTCAGTAGAACAGTGATGACATTTCTCATTTGTGAGCATGGCACAAAGCTTCAGCTGGAAAGAAAAGATTAAGGGTAAGGCTAAATAAGAGCCCCTGCAGGTAACTGCAGCCTGTGGCATGCCCATGCCCTGCTCTCTCCTCCAGCAAGAGCCCTGAAGGGCACTTTGCTGGGGACGTGTCTGGGGGTGACATGTCCTTCTGGCTGTGGACACGAGTGTGTTCTTCTTGTCATGCAGCACGGCCAGAAGCAAGCTGGCTTGCAGAGGATCAGTGAGCACAGAGTGGTGTTTAGCATGGCACCGGGCCCGTGAGCACCGCCAGACACTCCTCAGGGAAGCCTGTGGCTCCCGGAGAGATCTTGGCATCATCCTCCCCTGCCCCTGCTCTTTCCCCCTTTGACGGCCAAGCCTTGAAGCCCTGGGGAGCAAGAGGAAGGCGGTGGAGCCACAGGAAGGCCCAGCTATCTCCACCTTGGCACCAGTGTGAAGCAAGCCTGACTTCCAACGAAGCACAGAGCAAGAGCAGCCCCCACTGTCTGCAGTGCCTGAACATGGATCCAAGAGCAGTGCTGCAGCCTCCAGGTTCTGAAATCCATGGCAGGAGATGATGCCATCTCCTTCATCACCTGTGTTCAGACCCCTATGGCCAGTGCAGGCACCAGCACACACCTTGGCAGGAACACACTGTATTTCTGCTCTCCCAGCTGCCGAATACTGCCAGAAACAAAGCTGCTTCCAGGGGCTGAGGATGGAGAAGGGGAGACACAGACAGAAGGAAGCCAAGGCAAAGGCTGTTCAGTCTTCTTACCAAATCAAAGTGTCAGGCAACAAAAGAGGGATGCGGGAGAGCACCATCATTCAGTTGACTGGCCAAGCTTCTGTGAATCACCACCTTGGGGAGGTGAAAATTAGCACTGCGGGAGCTCAGAGAAAACCCACCTGGCAAACTCACCTTTTTAAATGGTGAAGTGAAAGCGGCTGGTGCTTTCAAACCTCCCCAGCCAAAGGAGCATGGGGAGGGGAGAGGAACTCCAGGAGCACAGAGCAACGGAGCACAGTGACGGCAAGGGGGAGAGGGCCGAGATTATGCCGCAGACTTTCTGTCTTTAATGGATCCCTTCCTCGCTCACCCCGAGCGAGGCAGCTGGCACGTGGTATCTCGGAGTGCAGATGGATCAGCAATGTCAGACGTGCAGCTGTGCATATTTAACACACAGGGATCTTATTATCTATTTGCTGGCTAGCCAGCAGCAGGCTGCTTTTGGAGGCGATTGCTCACAGTTGTAGAGAGAGAAAAATAGAGAGTAGTCCACAGTCATTAATCTTACACAACAGGCTGCGCAGTGTTAGAGCCAGAACTGCTACTCTCCTGCATCTGTCCCTCCCACCAGCCCTAAATCACTCTCTGATTCTCAACTCCTCTCTGCTACAGGGAAGAAAATCGCCTGGCTTAGAACTAGATACCACAACAGCACGGGCAGCCCTGCTACATGGAGCGCCTGCTCCAAATTGTTACCCCTTTCAGGTCTCTGACAAACCTGTAGTCCTATCACTGAATGAAGAGTTTGGATGTTGGCTATTGCCATTTTCAGCAGGGAATCACTAGTAAGCTCCCAAAGAGGCCTTCATTTGTTGAGCTGTTTTCCAGCATGACTTGCCTGGCACCAGAGGCAGAGGTGCGCTGCACACACCGCCATTCACTAAGCAAAGTCTCACATTTTTCAGGTCTCCATTTAGCACAGCTCTCAAAGCACGTCTGATTTGATGCATGTGAAATGGGCCTACTGCTGTCAATTTAACGTTCAGCCAGTATTGAAAAGTTTGGCTAAGATGAGACCTAAACACTTGTGTGGGCCGGAGCCTGTGCGTACAGCCCGGTCTGTCCTTTCCCCGTGTGTTGGAGGCTGGAGACATCTCCAAATAAGCACCTACCGGCAGAGTTCTCCAGAAAGGGAGACTCAACAAAGAGGTCAAACTCTTTTTATGTGTCTAATCTACAGGGTAGAAGGTAGTGAGGGAGGTCTGTGGAGTTGTCTGTAGGAATAACGGCCAGTGGAGGTAAAGTCATAAGCAGTAAAATCTGCCTCCTGATATCAAACAGTGACATCAACTGGAGTTCAGCTAATTTCCAGACAACTGAGTTTGTATGCTTTGGGAAGTGGGTTTTAGAAGACCTTACCTCTGAATTACCTACTTGCTACACAGTACCCCTAACCAAAGAAGACTGCATTTGATCTGGATGGTAACCAGCCAGGTCAGCTCTGTGGTAACCACCCAGTCATGCTCAGAGGACATATTCCAAAGTCAGAGTGCTCACTTGTAACCTATTTAGCCCCACGGTGTTGGGTGAAACAGGCTTTTATTTCTAACACACAACTGGATATACAGAAAACCTCTCTACCAGGAAACAGCACCAGGGATGGAGAGACAAGCAGGTATTGCCAGACGGTCCCAATCCCAAAAACAATCACAATGTGTTTTCCAGTCTCTCTGATGAGTAGAAGGCCACCATACCTAGAGGAAAATCCCAGAAAACTGGGCAGGGGGGAGAAATTTACAGCTGAAAGTGAGATGCTTTCAGTGGAAAGGGATCACATTGAAGAGAAAGAGCAATTTTGAAATTTTAAATATGGGTAATAGGAGGTAAAGCTTGAGGCCACTTGCAGCTGTCTGAATGCTCTCAGTTTTTTTAATCGCAAACACATTCCATTACAGGCAATATAAAAACAGAAGCATAATCTCCTGGCAAATACTTACAATTTTAACTCTAAAATAAAAATTATTACACACAGAGAGAAGCGCAGTGAGAGCCCTCATGTCCATGAAGAAAGATCTTGAGCCATATTCGTCTGTGGAACAACACAACTTTGTGCGATTTCCCTGAACTGTCCGCCAAACACCACCCGTCTCATCAGCCCTGAAATTCAGCATCATCAGTAAGGCAGAGCAAGGGTGACAATAGCCGAGAGATGCACGGAAAGAGACACGAGGGGAAGCTTTACTGAATGACAAACTAGCTTGAAAATAGCAAAACCACAACTGTAAGGGCTTTCTATGGAAACTGAACCAAGAAGAAAGAAAGCGAGGGTTTGGAAGGATTGAAGCAGCACCTAACAATGGCAGTCCTTTCTGGGACTGCAGGAAAAGCTGGCCTCATTGAAAAGGATGTGATTAAATAACTCAGACTTTAATGAAAGAGATTATGTTTCACCAGAAGGGAGCAAAGTCTCTGAAAGACTCCTTATCAGCCCATACTGCGCAGTGAAGAAGAGGTCAGACTGAAGTGGTACATTAGTCAAATAATACCAGCCGAACATTTACTTTCAGCTCACTCTTTCTGATGAAGGCCGTGGCCAATAATTACTAATGGCTAAGAGGGGTTTATTTGATGGGGACCTGACATGCATTACGGCAGACGCTGGCGTGCTTAATTGATCAGAAGGACAGTAAGTGAAAGAGTTACACTAAAAATAATGCCGCTCCCGGAGTGATGTAAATGTGCTACTGGTCAGCATCATTTCATAATTAGGTCATTTAGGGAGCCTTTGGGGTCACTGATGGTGGAACAGCAGCCAAAACCACCAAATACGCCTGCTGTGACAGATGCCCAAGTTACTCTTGTGCATAAGCACTACAGGTGCTTGGGAAGAAACAGACCTTACAGCCTATAAATATTTTAGCCATGGCAGATGAATAATAAATTGGTGAGAACAACATAGTGACATGAACTCATGTGAAACTATACCACACACTGGGAACAATATGGCCAGCTGCGTTAAAGCAGGACATTTTTAAAAACATCCTTAAGAGCTGGTCATCAGTCTTCTTGACCCCATTTCATGGCTACCTAACAATACCTGGCCTCCATGCAAACAGTGAGACCAGAACGTCCAAAGTGCTGGCTCTCTGCATGAAATAAAACCAGAAGAATCAATTTCCATACCATTCCATACTGTTCATAAGCTGCTAAACTCACAAGGAGCTAATATAGCCCTAGATTGATAGAAATAAAGGGAGTAATGGTGGTGGAAGACACAAAAGAGCAAGAGTAACAACAGTCAAATAAGAAGCAGGAAATAAAAAATCTGTATCATCTGCTTTTTTTTTTTCCACTTATTCCAAAGAATTAAGTTTACAAATATTAATTTTTACTAGAAATCAACAAAAGATTAGAAAATGCCTGAGAACTTTCATCCTCAGACTTGGAGCATGCAGATAAAATGGAAGCTAAACCTGAAGCAACCCAGCCCATTTGCATGTTACAAAATCAAAATGATACTAATTACGTCCTGGCAAAAACAAATCCTCCCTGATTTTCCTGTTAAAGAAAAGAATTTTACAGCCCCAGGGCCTGGGTAAAATAAATCCAAAATTCGTACCATTTTTCCTGCCTCAAATGGTTGCAAAGCAAAATCTAAACTTCCATGTTCTTACAACAGCTACTGCCACTGCCATCAGAAATAAAGAACATGCTTGCTCTCAAACAATAATCAGACTCAAACACACACTCAGGGTAAAATAATCTTCCTCCCAAACTGGAAAAAAACCTTTATTCTGCCAAATTGATCATCGTATCTTCGTCACACTGTGCCAAAGAGCATACTGAAATTAGTCAGGGTCTTTCCATTGCCTTTGAGTGGCTTTGGATCAAGCTCGTCATAACCAAAACCAAATTCACAGAAATGAGCTACAGGTAGATGACGATGTTGTCAAGCAGAAGAACATCACTACAGGGACTTTTCAGAAACCCATCAGTTAGACCAACTGCTTTTTTTCCCCTGGCTCTCAGATTATAACTCACTGATTTACATTGGAATATTATTTAATTAGATCAGCACCAAATGACTCATCGCATTTTGTCACTTTAATGATTCTTTATATTTCTCCAGTTTGATGGGTTAATCACTGCCTATCACAGTTTATGGCCTCTATCTTCTTTATTGTGTTTTGCCTCCCATCAGCTATCCAAGGTGATGTGAACTTTGTGCTATTGACTTTTCTCACTCCTCTGGGGAGGTTGTCATGGAGAATTAAGCTATTGACAAATCAACAGCCGACGTGCTAAACTCCTTCTTGCACGTCATCATCAGGAATGTGGGAACCGGCCAACTTTGGTTTTGTGCAGAACCACGATGTTCCACCACATAAAAGAAATCCCAAAGCCCTATGTATCAGAGTCTGCTCTCATTTCAAGCTCTGCAAATTTGGAGTAAAGGAAGAATCTCCTCCTTTACCTTAACAAACTCTTTTTAGAATAAGTTCAGGCAGCAGAATTAAATGAATGAATTTCAGACTTCCTCCAATAGTTTTAATCTTCTCAATAGACGTAGTTTTTGTTTCCAGAAGCAGCTGTCTTCATTAGGTGTGACTGAGCAAATGAGCTAGGCAGATATAATTAATGTACTGCTAACCGCAAGCAGTGATGAATAACAATTATTTTTCAAATGCACTTAATAAATGTTAATTTGCTCCTTTTTCTTCTTATTATTCCAAGTGTGGGAACTATTCTTATCATCTCAATAATTAGCCAGTCCAAAATATCTAACCAGTGAGTCAGTATGGTATCACTCCTTAATGCAGAACCTCCCATTATTGTAGGAAAGATATAAAAGATACAAATTTCTATAAAAGATTTCTACATGACTAGAAGCTAAAAATGATGACTTATTTACTGAGATGTTATAGATGAAACGGAGATTCATCCTGGTTCATATTTCAAAGGCCACCCTCCCCTCTTTGTTGGCATAATTTGCTAACTTTTGTGGATATGAAATTCAATTGCAGGTTCAGTTCAAGTTTGTTGCATCGTGGATTTGTCCGAGGGCAAATTTTATTCCCAAGCATGCCTCTGTTTAGCTGAAAATAGGCCTCAATGTACCATTAAGTGTATCTCCTTGTGCTCCCCCTCAAATGTTTTCTCAAATTTTAATGAAAATGTAATTTCAGAAATGTTTTCTTCCCAAAGCTGTTGCACTGCCAAGTTGTAAAAATAAGTCCAGCTTCTTGTTGTTGCTGTGGTTGCTGTCAGAGTCAGTGATGAGCCAAGGAACTTGCACTATATGTACTATTTCCATTCCCCAGCGGAGAGCTTTAGATAAGCTCCTCCAACCCGAGTCAGGGAGACAATGCCAGGAAATGTTGTGGGAGCTGGAGGGAGTGCTGGATGGTTCAGAAAAGCAGGGGGAAAAAGCTCCAGATTCAAAAACTGAAGCTCTGCAGATCCAAGTCAACTCCCTATATTTTTTTCAATGGCATAATCTGCTGCTCAACTTTAGCCTTGCAACAGGCCAAGTGTCCGCTTCCATTACCCGACAGCAATGCTGGCCATGCCGAACCTCACCCTGCTGTCTGCTTCAGGTTAGCTGCCATCTCGCGCCGTCTCCTGTTCCTCGTCAACTGATAAATCAGTCAAACGACCAGATCACATTTTTTAATGAACTGAATTTACTTTTTGACAGCTGTGCTCCATACCTTCCTCCTCCTCTTTTGTAGATTTCCAATACATTTAAATTATTGCAGCTACAGTAACGCACATCCAGCAGGAGTGAGACCCCTGAGACCTTGCATCAGCCAACTCTATTAATTAAGCTATCCGGTGCCATGCGGTGCAAGCTTAAAGCTTGTCATAGTTGTGAGCTCTATAAAAGGAATAGGACTTCTACAGTAGGTTTGACTTCAGATGCTAAAAAATTAGCTGTGTGAAAATAAGGCAAGCTGGGCTGGTAACGTGGATTCCCAGAAAAGTACACGAAGACTGAAAAGGCATATTGAGAGAAAAACGTACACGTCTAAGAGAAATGGATGAACCACCAGGTCTGATATATCTCCAAGGAGATCACTATCATAGCTATCGTTATTACTATTTTTTTTTAACTCAGTAACTCCTCCAGAAGTGCCACTAGAGAGAGTGGTCAACATTAGCTGGGAACCAAGTGTCAGACTTGGAAGCAACCAAGGCTCAAGCACACAGACAGAATAAAGTCATGTCAGCCAGCATTTTTCCTCTTTGTAAGAGAAAAGCAAATCTCTTTTAAAGAAGAAACACCAATTTCCCCTAGTCTCATGCTCCATCCTTTTTGTTACTACTTCTCTTTTCCCTTTTCACTTTCCCCAAGTTTCTTCCTCCCTCCCCTGCTAGCAGTATCCACTCTTCCTTTGTCAGTAATCATCTCCTGCACAAATACCATCTCCCAATTTATTTTGTCAAAACCAAACCAATCCAGATGCTCGGGATATAATAAAATAAATGAATAAACAAAGAGTATGAGTGGGAAAAGGAAATAAAACTAATAACCAGCACGACAAACACTGCCCTGACCTCTCTGAATAAAATCCCTTTACCCAGACCGATCTATGGGAAACCCCACGGAGTCACCAGGGGGCTTTTCATGGGACTTTCTATCTCAGCCCCTTACTTGCCTCCAGTTCTGGCTTTTCTTACTCTCATCTCTCCAAGGCAGTGCCTGTGTGCTCCTGAGCTTGGCTAAAGCAGACAGCAAAGTGGGACTCCAGATTTATGGAAGGCCTTTGGAAGCAAAGGCTGCTGAAATCCCTGTGAGAAAGTCTGATCTTTTGACACTGGCTTTAGTCCTGGACCTCACTGAAAAAATCAGAATATCTTCTTGGAGAAAGCCGAGATCTGATCTGATTGTGAACAGGAGCCTCAAGACTCCTGTGAAAATACAGCTGCAAAGAGATTCCCCAGAAGCTGGGGGAGGCAACACAGGAGAGAAGAGAAATGTGAATAACCCAAAGCAGGAGCTGATGGGAAGTCAGAGCAAGGAACAGCCCCTTTTGACTCTGAAATCTCTCAGTATGTGCAATGGTTCAAGCAAGCCATGAGCTAGCATTAATCTGACTTGAAAAGAAACACATCACTGGATGCATCCAGAATCCAAATAAAACCAATTTTCATTCAAATTGTTTGCTGGGACTTTTAAGTCAGAAAATATTTTGCTTTCTAATACATCAGCCCACTCTGATAAAGAAATACAGGCTACATGCACATTCACAAAATCCCACAATAACTAAAATCTTCCTTCAGCTAACGTACACTGTGAAGCTATACCTCTGGCTAACTCAAATCCAGCAGCCCCAGACCTGGCAGCCCCAGGCAGGCACAGGACCATGCCAGAGCAAGGGGGATGGATAAATTTGCCCGTCCACTTTGGCTGACAAGTTGTGGAAGTTTCCAAGTTGATTAAAAGCTCTCCTTGCAGGCAGCATGTGAGCCCGATCTCACACCCAAGTGACCATCTTCGGCTGACTTCTCCGGGAGCTGGTCAGCCCCGGATCTGCGGTTATTTAAATGAGTGTACGCACAAAGAAAGCATTCAACTGTTTTCTTTCATGTATGAAATAATACGAGGTAAAAGACCATTACCAAACGGATTCATCTGTCCCTTTCACTTACTAGTCAGCACAAATCTAAAGCCTTCATCTTTACCCCTTTGACCTACCCTGTGGGTTTGTCTCTGCCTCCCTGTTTGGAGAAGAAGGGACCCCTGATTAACAGATACGCTGGGACACTGGTCAACAGAGAGCGAAGGGTCTCATTTCCTCCCGCACTAATATCTCCCCAGTGTTAATTGCGGTTCTGGGTGAATAGGCAATACCGGAGAACAGAGGCGGCGAGCGCTTTGCCATTGCTGATTACTTCACATCACACATTTGAAACAAGTGCGCTTGTCCCCACAGTCCTTGGGTCAGATCAGAAAAAAAAAAAAAAAAAGGAAAACTTGGGGGGAAGAAAGCTCGTTGTTACTGACAGCTGCTCCTCAAAGGTCAAGGATTACAATAGTCGGAGCGCTGCAGGTCAGGGCTGATGTGAACCGCACCGAGAAACTCTTCTTGCCCTCCCTGCCGCTGGGCTGTAACAAATGTTATCTGTCCCTCTCTCTTTATGAGCTTTGAATCTTTGAATTCCCATCACCAAAAAAAAAAAAAAAAAAAAAAAGGAAAAATAAAGCAAATAAAAAATATTTACAATGTAATCTCTTCTTTGCACACACCTCTTCCAATCAGGCAGCTCTGAGAGCTGTCCTCCTGGCAAGATAAACTATCATTTTTTAACAAGGTAGATGGATGCCTTCATACATTTTTAAGCTTGGGACAGGATATATTTTGTGGTTTATTTATAATGACATCAATTACACTTGCTCTTAGGTAATAATTCACTCCTTTATAATTATTTATGAGGTGATTTTTACTTTTTTGAAAGTTTTATGTTTATTGATGTGTTTGGTTAACGAACACTTAAATGACATGGTCAGTTGCTTTGCAGGATGCTGGAGAACAGCAAAATCAATACGTTCTGCACCTGAGAACAATCTTCTTAGTTTTGTAGTAATGATTCCCTGAGCAAGGTCCCAGGAGCCTGAGAGATAATTGCAATTCCACATAGTCAACAGCCTGCTCAGATCTATATAATCACCGTCTTTAGCTGCTTCATTTTGTTTGGTTTTGTTGCGTGTGATCTTTGCCATTAACATCTCTTTCTCTGTGATCTCAGTGGGCTGGATTCCGCTTCCCAAGCCCTCCTCCAGCTTTCATTTCAGAGCCTCACCTCTGCTGAATCCAGCCCCCTGAATTCAGCCGAGCCGAGAAAGCGGTGAGTTGAGTAGCTGCTTTCTGCCACTCGATTTATCTTTGTTGATTGCTACCTTTGGAGAATGAAAAGTTGATAGCGCTCTGGATAAACATTAAAAAAAGGCATAATAAGGCTTAGCATCCCCAGCTGAAGATAACCCATCTCCTCCGTTGCTTTACTATGCAGAGTGGAGAACACAGAGAAGTGTTAATGCAATAATAGCTCCTATGGCCCCTCTGCGCAGGGAGGCAGGCAGCGCGCTGCACGGTGAGGGACAGCAAGCAGGGGCAGCTCCTCTGCTCAAGAAGCTGGTGAAGAAATTTGTCTTGAGGTTGTGAGTCCTTTATAGATACAAAGGAGAATATATGATGGTATTTCAACCTCCAAAGTGGCTTGTGCTCCGGCTGGGGCACCGAGTGTGTTTAGAAGAACGGGATCAATGGTTTAGGGGCTTTTTAAAGTGGTAATTGCACTTCAGCATAGTCATGAAGTGCCTCGTCCAGCAAATACACTGAGGTAATTAATCAGGTATATTCTTAAGTTAGGTTTGAATGCAGAGCACATAAGCCAAGACAGAGCTTAAATGAATAAATCTGCCAGAAAAGCCTAATACCCTTAATTTGTGATCTCTTACAGTGTGATCCTGCACCATTTGTGCTCGACAACAACTCCTTAAATACCCTGCATGGGTCCATAAAAAGCAGTGTTTTCCCACCCAGGAGAGAGCATGTTATTCCACCAGATCCATCAGGGCATGACACAGACATACATGGTCGGGAACCACTGTCTTCCTGGACTGCCACAAGCACGAAAAAAAAAATAAAAGCTTTTTTGGGAGTGCCGCAGCTCTGACAGTGAGGTTTCTTCCAAATATTTTGGTGCGGTTTGGTCATCAGCTCACGCAGGCGGTCATGCACCAAACTGCTAGGATCAAGTGCTTCTGCAACCTGATCCAGTCTGCTCCCATCCCCAGCAGCTAAACAACTGCATTAGAAACCTCACCTACACTAAGTGCCTTATTTCAGGGGTCCAGCGGGGCTTTCAAGTGCAGATGCTTTCCGAGCAGAGAGAATGGATTTGGTCGAAAGAATAAATAATGCTCATAATATTTCAATTTGCAATTCAAGCAGAGAGACCTGAAAGAGGGTGGATTTCCACACACTGAGCACCTAAGAGCCAAAAGCCAGATGGCTCAGCTGGACACCTAAACTATCGGGTACTCTCAGCGGTCACTTCAGAAAATGCAGCCCTGAGTCCTTTGGTTAATACAAAACAGGCCAAGCATCTTCCAAACGCTCCAATGAAACCCTCCAAACATCCTATTTGGAAAGTTATTAGCTGGTAGCTGACAAAACCAATTCTCCCCCTTCATTTACGGAGATGAAAATTGGCATCATTCTCCCGAGTTTCAAAATAGAACGGTAGTGATGTTAACACGAATAAATCAACCGGGAAGATGTTTGTAAGCCTTGATCAGCCAAAGAGATATACTTACCTGCTATAAAGGAAGATTGCTGACTTTTCTATTTCCATTAACTGTTGCCAAATCTCATAAATGTAAACAGAGAATAAATCCTTTCAGTCACTGAATATGAATATTCTCCTGGGAAAATCCAGCTGGCATCCAACTTGATTTATGTGCTTTAAAAAAAGCATTTGTTTTATATGCCTAGGGTGAGCCTTAAAACATAAGTTCACGTGTAAAAAATATTAAGGCTCGGGACCTATTTCAGCAAAAAGTGCACATCCTCTGCTCAGCTGCCTACCATTCGCCACACAGGGAGCCAAAGTCGTGTGGGCCTGGGGTCACAGCATCTGCTCGGAGGAATCGGTGAAGCTTGGGTATTGCAAAACACACACCTCTGGCATCACGGCCCCTTTCCAGACAGCTACTGCAGCTCCTACACTTTGTACTCAAATGAGAAGTCTGGAGCCTAAATATTCACTGGATGCACTCTTCTTTGCCGCTTCTCTTCCACGTTACTTTATGCTACTTCCCCCACTTCATCCTCTGCAGATGCTCCTAACATCCATCTCTTAACCCTCTTCAAATATATAATGCATTAAAAGTATGACATCCGTAACAAGTAAACTTCAATTCTTACTGAACATGAGCAGCACCAGCAGATTCAGGCTAATTACACATCACAGGGCTCTCCTATCCATATTTCCTAAGTTTGAGGGGAAAATATATCTTACAGCCACTCGTTGCTCTTCAGCGTGTTCCCTCATTTTAGATGCACTAACCGAATTGTTAGAGGAATGCACATCTTGTCAAAGCCATATTATTAAGCAAAACGTGATTACGATGTCGGTAACAAGCCTGTCCTTTGGCTGCGGAGGATGGAGCTATGTGAGCTCCGGGTGGTGGAAGGGAGTAACGTCACGCTGAGAAGGATTTGAGGGAAACTGTATATTAAACTGATTATTTCCTTGTGTTTTGTGTCTATGCTTGATTATTTGGTCTGGTAACCTACTCCCCAACTTGAGGATTTTTCCATCTGCGTACACACCAGCACACACACATGCCAAATACACGCTTGTCCACTATATACGAATGTCCCATGCCATTTTATTTTCAGTCTTGGGGAAATTGAGAGAACATTGCCAGGCGTGTTCTCAGTTCTACTCTGTAGAGGCCTGAACTAAAATTACAACTGAAAAGCAAATGCAGTGACCTTTAAAGGAATCGGGAAGAAGCTATTTCCAGCACATTACTAAATGCTATATTTTAAAGGTTCTAACCTTATTTGCTACAAGTGTATAATATCAGGAAAACCTTGTGAGTGAAGGTTCTGCATTCATCACATAACCCAAGTCACTTACAGAAGAGATGGGGAAAGTTATTACTTTCCCCCTTGCAGACATTAAAGTTCAACCCCCTTTCCTGTAGGGTTTTGCAGCATTAAATAAGGTTCAGGGATCACTTCAAGAATTACAGGCTCCTCGACTTTAAAAAAAAAAAAAAGTTTCCTGCAAGCAGCCATAGACACATTGTCAAGCAGGGAGAGCAATTTATGGGATACGCACGTCCTACACAGCTCGGGCAGACAAGCTAAGGGGAGCTGGGTATTGCTATCCGATATCGCCATAGCATGAACTTTATTGAACGAAATACTCTTTTATGAGAATTATAATAGAAATTGATTTACAAGATACAGTTTAAAAGTAAAAGATAGGCCAACAAAAGACGTGTCATAAAGTCTTGGGAGGCCAGCCGTAAGCCCGGGGTTTAATTGCATCAAGTGGGCAGCACGAGGTGTGTGGTGGCAGGCTTCCCTCCTGCTTGGTGCAACGCCTGACAGACAACAGAGACGTCAGGTTTTGATGCTTAGAAAATCATAAAGCGAAATGTTAACTTCACTTTATTTGTCATTATTATTTATTGATTTATATTGTACCTTTCGTATGTAGAATGGTGCTCTACACCAAATAAATCAGGGAGCATAAAGCCTTAGTCACAGCAAATAAAGAAGGAAAGCAGGCAGAACCAGAAATATCAATAAAATGCAGAAGCAGTTAGTAAACAAGCATAGGCTTGATCTCATTTTTATAAATTTCTCTGGAATTAGCTGTAGGGATATTGTAGTGTCCAGTATTTTACCGGATAAGTTCCTAATAAGACAATAAAACCTCTGAGGCAATAGACAAATAGAAGAGGTGGACAATGTAAATAACACAAACTGGAGATACAGTGCAGCTTGCACGAGGGCATGTAAACGGTCAGGAAACAGCACAAAGAAAATATGCAAAAATCTGAAATTCCTTAGAAGGCACTGTAACATTTGCAATCAAAAAAAAAAAAAAATAAACCTCATACAAAGATAATCTGTTACCATTCAAATCTCACCCTGGCCCTGAGTCCCTGGCCCAGTAAAATACAGTATGGGCTGATCCAAGAGCTTAAAATTAAGCATGTAGTTTAGAGAATCACAGCATGACACATGAGAACATGAAGAAGATGAAGAAAAGCTACAAAATACCGTACAAGTAATTTTTATTTTTTTAACATTTCATTTTTGGCTATCAAAAAAAAAAAAAAAAAAAAACCTCCTCCATTTGTTTCAGCATAACCAGATTGTACCCTTAAAGAGCTTAAAGAGTTACAGGCCCTGGATGTGCTTTAAAGCAGCACAGGAAATCACAGGCACAGATATGGTACTTGACCTTTAGTGGTGCAATGAAACCACTAAAATATATGTTAGGCTGCAAAATGCTGAGATCTTCTACCGTGAAACAAAACAGATATTGATTTTTCCTATACACCTTTTAGTACGACAGTAAGTCAAACATAGTTGGTGCCAGATGATGCTGGTTGTTTGAGATATCATGTAACGTGTTCAGTAAAAGCCGAGAGCAGTGAGATTTTAGCACTTTTGCAGCCTGGTTTTCTGAATTAAGCTAACCCAAGCTGGGGGTTAGATGAACGGCACCAGCAGTGTCTCCCTGCACCTCACACGAAGTGGAGCTCTGCAGAAACCTGCATGTGGCCCTCGACGCTGCTGTGTTCGACAGGAGAGAGGATGAGGTTCTGCTGCAGGAACGTGAGATGGTTTTCGGCAGAACACGTCCCCTTTTCTGAGTTAGCTGCTGGGCAGGAAACCAAGGGAAGACTTTAGAAGATGTTAACGGAGGAGCCTGTGCCTCACACAAAACAACTGCAGATTTCACCTCTGCTGAATTCAGACTAACTTGAGGATTTGACAACTAACGGGTTTAGATATGATTTAAAACTACTGAATTAACTGACCCTGAAATGGAAGTTCAGCCAGCAACATTTTTGACTCCTTAAGAACAAAAATGCTCCTTAAGAAGCCTTCATAGGTTAAGCAACATCTGATGGGAACAAATTCTAATGAGAACCAAATCCATCCATCCGCACGTCTGCAGCCCAGAGCACAGCGTTAATTTTTACGGACAGATACGTGAGCAAGGGCACTTTAGTCTTGGCACATTTGTATATGAGTCTACAAAGCAGCTTTCCCCACCCCACCACAAGTGCCAGAGGCTGTAGACACAGTACTTGGTACTACCCGATTTATGCTCCCCTGCTGTACGATCCTACTTCAGCTACAAAGATCTGAGTGCTCCTACTAGCTGCTGTGGAAATGCTTGTGAGATTAGAGAGGTCTCGATGAAAACAGCAGGACCCATTGGATTAACAGTGGTTTTGCATCTATCCCCATGTATTTAAAATGGTACCAAAATCCACGGACAATAGGTTTTCTTTTCCTAGTGACAGGTCATTTATGGTCTAAGGCTACTTGTGGACTCCCGCATGCGGCAGTCCAAGGCCAGACACCGTTTCTGTGGACATTGTAATACAAGGCAAGAGAGGAGATGTATTTTACAGCATCATAGCGATCCAACACTGAATTGAGCTCCCCGTGCTACCTGCTTCAAGCACCTAAGCGAAGATCCTGAATGTTGGTACTCTGGGCTGTTCTGTAAAGGCATCTCCCTGCTGCCTATTGAGGTCCTTGAACTGTTGTTTTTCCTCCACTGCAAGCTGCAGCTTTTTAGGACCATCTGGCAGGTGGGGAGTTCCTGTTCTCCAAACAAGAGGAGGCGCTTCTCCATTTATGACCCAGGTTTGCTGCCCTTGCATACTCAAAGCACATACTCAAAGCACAGCTTTTTTAAATGCGTTGACTAAATCTAATCTTATAGCCATACAGGATGCAATGTGATGGTGTGAATCTGAGCAGCAAGGCCAAATCTGCTCACTAGCAAGGACACAGGTCTTCTGCTGACTCCAACAGGAGTTCGTGCACAGCCCACGTGGGGAGTCAGCACCGCTGAGCATTATTAGTAACTGCAGCTGGGTTCCTCCCAGCTCAGTCTGCCTCGTCCACAAATGACCACCAGAACATGAAAAAAACAGATGACTCGCCATACCTTAAGTGAAAAAAGATGATTGAATAAATCCTGAGCATAAGACTTTGTGCCTAATTAGTTAAATCCCCTTAAGACGTTTAAAAAAAATCGCTAAAAGTGCTTTCAGTAATTTGTAATAAGATGCTTAGATAATGTGCTCACTATCAAGGGAAGTTTCCAGTTTCACTGTACTCCATTTTTTAACATCTTGGCAAAGACCTTTTTCTCCCTCTCATGCTAAAGACCTCCCATTGACACTGTAACGTTAGCCTGGGAGCAGCTGGTGACTATTTCTGATGAATGGCAGGTGAGAGGGTTTTTCACGCCAAACCAACACGCACGCAAAACTGAATTCTCCATCCCCATTTCCTTCATTTAGCAGCTTAAAAGAAGTGGAGACGAAGAGACTTAGGCTCACAAGTCCCAAGGGTGTTTGGGAAAGTTAAGCATTCAGTCACAGAAGGAGGTTGGCTACAGAGGGGCGAAGAGGACCTCTCCTCAACAAAAGAGCTGCCTGTCCCTTGCCTTGGCATCTGCCCTAACAAGGCTCCTAGCATGGGCACTGCTGGCCACTGGAGGCCTGATGGGTCCCTTTAGGGTCACAGTCCACAAACAGAAGGAAAGAAATCTTGTTGGGAGCTGACCTAAATTCAGTGGGCTTTCTCCATAAAATAAAACAGCAAAATCAGTTGAGTGGGCTAACTGAAACGTCAGCGTTCCTGTCTGATTTTCAAAGGGAGTTTCTTGTTTTGATTCTATTTGCTTTCTTTTTTAATATTTAATGAATTTGGACTTGAAACTTTATTTCAGAATGAGAAATTTAAGATATTTAAACTTTTTTGTATCTTTTGTATAAAGTTTTGTTTTGAAACTCTATTTTTTCCAACTGTGCAAATAAACTGACTCAACAATAAATGTTGCCCTCTCCCTATCTACGAACACAAGCCATGTGAGAAAACTCCATGTCAAACTTTATATCCAAACCTTTGATCAGTGGATGGATTTAAACCATGTAAGTTTAAAGCTGAGCTGTATAATGCTATAAAGATGCCAAACCAGAACGTTTCTGCTGACAGTGGTGGTACTGGCCTTTTAGCGTCCTGTGATTAGAAGCTGCTCTGGAGACCTGAACGTTTCCATGGGCTGGATGAGGACTGACTGCACAGTCTGTCACTTTGTGCATTCCAGTTTTCCTCCTGATTTCTGTATCTGAAGAGTGCAAACACCAAAAAATAATAATAACTAAAAAAAAAAAAGCTGAGTAGCCTCAATTCACTTGGTTTTTAGAAAAATGAAGGGCATTCAGAAATAACCAGGACTGACACACAGCCTTTCTTCTTCTTCTTCTTCTTTTAAGTTCATCAAAATACATTTTTACATTGCTTCAGCTTCTCTTTCTGTGCCAAGTTCCAGCAATAAACCTGCTTTATTAAACTGACATTTTGCAAGTAGTTAGTCCTGAAAATTGACTAAGCCCTTTTTGTATTAGAAAAACCATTCTGGAGGCAGCTGAAATAT